TTGAAGCCGCTGTATCCGCCATTGCTGAAAAGCATCAAGCTGAAGTTGCTTTAAGCCCCGTCCAACACACTCCGCCAACACAGCTTTCTGAAAAATCCGCTCTTAGCCGTCCCGAGGTAACTCCCCGACATTCTATGGAAGGCGAGTCGTCAGCCCCCAGAAAATCAACCTCATCGAGCGAGTATGAAGCTGGGGATAGTGTAGACGAGAAAGCTGCCATGAGCGGTCTGCTCCGTACTATTCAGAAACCACTTTCCTCCATAGGAAGAATGTTCTCGGATGACCCTTCCCCTCCAGCTTACAGTGGACCCGCAAGGACCCCTAATCCGGGGAGTACACCGCGAATGACACCATCGCCACGAGTTAGCATGGATGGACCCCAGCCCCCACATCGGAGGCCTAGTGAACGTGAATTAAACGTTAGGAATAGGATGACAGCCGAAGATGCAGCTGCAAGACAAGCAAGTGCCGAGGCTGCAGAGGCACATCGCCTTCAGCGCGCAGAGCACGAGAATGTTGTAGAGACTCTTGCAGGAATGTTTCCAGATTTAGACAGGGAGATTATTAGTGATGTGGTTACTCAAAAAGAGGGAAGGTGAGGATTAGCCCCTTCAAGAAAACTCCCTTAAAAGTTTACATACTAATTGTTAATCTAGGGTTGGTCTGGCAGTCGATGCATGTCTTGCCCTCAGTTCTTGAACAACAAGACACGAAAGCAGTTTATTATCATATTATCACGTTTAATATTCACAGGTTTTATGCATTCAGCGGGTGGAATCATAGCGTTGCGTGGTCGCATTGGCGTTTTCCTCGTGTTGAATCTTCTGGTATATCCCTAGCGCATTTCGGCTTCAGAAGATCAGTAGCGAGAACGAAAGTAGAAGGAAGATACGAGGTGGTGTTTTATATAGTCGTAATTACTTTGTCCGAAATAATGAAAGATGATTATGACAGCCTGGCCGTACTTTCATATTGAATATACTTCAGATGGAGATCAAAGAACCGTATATACCATCTGAAAGATGGACATATATTTCATAGCGTGCAAAAATCTCGGTTGAAATTGCTTGTGCTATCAACCAAATTTTGTCTCGGGAGGTATTTTGGTATTACCATGATTTATTCATTTCCAATATAACTGAGGATATATCTTAATCATGGCCAAGAAGAAGAATAAGAGCCAAAATAATGGCGATTCCCCAGAAATCCAGGTTCCCGCGGCTTCTACGCCATTACCAGCATCAACTACATCAACGAAGACGAAAACAAAAGATACCAAGTCGACGCAGCAACCCTCAACATCTGCACTTATTATTTGTCGCAACAAGTATGTGAATTGTTTACAATATCAATCCCCTATTACACAATTATGCGCAGATGTCATGGCTGTTTTGCGGATGCCATGCCTGATCTTATGAGGCGAAATTGTGCATCATCAATTTTTTTCCAATTTCCCTCAATGCGCGTCCCGCATTTATATTAAACTCATCCGACTAACACTTTCCTCGCAGACATTGGCGTTATATCTCTTCCTTCCATGGACCATGGCTACAATTGCCCCCCGAAGTTCTAGAAGCTCTCGCGAACAACAATTATGCCCTTCCTCGGCCCCGACCGATTGACCCCGCGGTCTTCTTCGATATTCTTAAAATCCGACAGCTTGTTGACGATGCCACGAATCTCGCAGTGCGCGCCGCCAGTGGTGTAACATCTTCTTCTCTCTCGAACTCTTTGAATGCTGGAAATGGCTTATTAGGGAAAGGGGGGACGGCGCTGGGCCTGGGGATTGGGGGAGGAGGGGGGAATGCGAAATTGAGTAAAGAACGAAAACATCGGATGCGAGAACAGGCTACACAAAAGCTATCCAAGGCATATCATCTGGATGAGATCGCATGTAGTGTCGCGACGATGCAGTCTGCATCTACGCTGGAGGATGTGGCTCAGCTTGTCCTACAGAGAAATCCCAATGATTCGGATGCCAAATACGTTCACTTTTTTCACGAGAAGATTCCTTCGCGGCAGCTGGCAGAATGTACAAGTTTAACACCATTGGATGAAGTAGTAGCAGACAGGCCGAGTGAAGGCGAAATATTAAGGACCCGCGCCGTTACAAAGATATTCAAGGAGGATTTTGTGGGAGCGACGCAAGATCTTACTTCTGCTTTATCAGTCTGTAGATATTATCAAAATCAACATAAGGCAGGCCGACAGCAAATACAGCTAGCAAGGGAAGCCGCTGCCGAAGCCCAGCGAAACAACGGTGGAAGATGGAGAGACGAGTTTAAGTTAGATGAAGAGGACCACCCGAGTAGTCTTGAGACCCAACTTCTGTTTCACCGTGCTGGTGTTTACTTAACTATTGCATGCCAACACGTTAATGCTGCTCTGCCACCTTCGTCCCACCATCACGGTGACTTATTTACATTCGAGGCTGTAGACAAGGCCATGAATAGTCCCTGGCCCACCAACGGAGCGGCAAGTAATGAGGACACAAGTAATGGAGAGAAAATTAATGGAAAGACCAATGGTGCGAACGGCACGTCAAATGAAGAGCCCCAGCTATCCGCAGCTGACAAAGAAGCACATCGAAAACGCCTGGAGGCACGGAAAGTTGTGAAGACAAATGCAAAGAGGGCTTTAAGAGATTATGTAGCATATCTATCGCACCTGGACTACACCCCTGGTCTTCCAGCTGAGATCACAGAAGAATTTGTTCGCAAGGTGAACTTAGCTGCGAATGGTTACAAAATTCCTCGACCACCCCAGAGCAAGCATATTAAGCGGGGCCTTGATTTGGAAAGCAACGCGTCATTGAGTAATGGCCAATTGTCTGATGCGCTCGTTCCTCATAATGGCCATAACGGAAGAAGTCGTCCTCAATCTAGCACTTCTCGACCCCCCGATTTGCCTTCTCTACCTCCGCCCAAGGTCTACCAAATTTCATCTCTATTCTCCTCCACTCCACCAGCCGATCTTCCTCCCTACCCAGAAACAGCCACAGCTTTAACGACTAAGCAACAGCTTCGCGCATCCCAATCTGAGGCAGCCCAGCACATACTCGCCCAGGCCGATTGCCACGAAGCCCTTACCTATCACCCCCTTTTAACTGATGCCCTCCATTCCCTTTTACTTTGTCACTGTCTCGTGCAGACCTCCGCCCGTGAGCTCCAGCGCCACGCCCACATGGTTGCGCGACTTGCTCGTGTTTGCGACGGCTACCCTATTTTCCAAGCCTCGAGATCGCCGTCTCGCGCCGACTGGATTGAAGTGATTCGCCGCAATGACAATTGGATTTCTCTCGCCGCATCATGGGAAACTCTTTGCGCACCCGCGCCACTACCAGGTCAAAGTCCGACCAACCAACAAAAAGAGACAGCCGCGGAAAAGAAAGAGAGATTAAAGCAGCAAGCTATCATGGAAGCACTTGAAGATGATCGTGTCCATGATGAAGCTAGTTTTCATGCGGCAGTTGCGGCTAGACAGAGAAGACAGGAAGAGGAAGCTAGGAAGGCCGAGGGAAGAGAAATGCCTAAGAGATGGGCGCAGGAAGATGGAAAAGAGTATCCTATCAGTACTGATAGGGCTCAAGCGATTGTTAGATGGATCCGGGAAGCCCCTCCTGGGGGCGATGGTACTGGGCTAAAGAAGAAGAAAAGAGGTGTCAGGGGAAAGGGGAAGAGTAGTGTGAGTAGCCTTAACGGGTCAGGAGGCGCTACTCAAAACCCAAAGCCTTATAGGGAGGGAGAAGGCAACGAAGAGTTCGAGAGGATTGAGGAGGAAGTCGACTGATTGCCTGTCTCAGCGCACCAGATACCAATTTGATACACAATTTTGGACATGCGGCAAATCATTATGAAATGAGGCAGTCAAAAACAAACAATTACGTGTATATATATTTGCGATTAGCGTGTCGTCTAAGAGAAGTGACAACTCTTACTTTAGCGTATCATGAGTTTAGAATGCATCAATCAAGTCATCAAGCGGTAGAAATAATATTACAGCCATCGATTCCATACATATCATTCTACTTCTAAAATGAAAGCAGGGGTGAATAGAAGAAGCGATCTACATTGCATGTCACGGTCGCCCTTCACTCAAGATCAATCTTGTCCATTATCCGTTGAAGCCTATAGTCTCGTCTTTCCCTGTTATAAAACCAAGGTATCGTGCGTCTAGATTGACGTCGTATCATGGCGAAAGTAATGTTGAGCCTGTAGATCACGTCGGTGCCTGGCTTAGTGCGGGGTTTCTTGTCATCTTTATGTTTTTGCATCGGTGTTCATGCCCAGGTGATATTGTAAGCAGGAGAGGTGAGGAGTTCTATAAAAGGTGGTTTGCGCTTGTTTTACTTTGAGATAGTGTATGAGTTTGTTTTTGATTGTGTTGATATTAAGATTTCAGATCACCGGGAGTATTGGAGTATTGCAACAGAATCAGCAGTAACTTCAGGAAAAATGGCAGGAAACGTCGATCCTGATGATCCGAGGAAACTGACAGATTTTAAATTATTATCTTTCGATGTACATTCCACGTTAATCGACGAGAAAGGTGCGTTTCTTACTTCTCTCATTACCTCTTTCGCCATCACAGCAATGAAACATATCCGTAAGCACCAACTCCCCCTTCCCTCCAAACCCCCTCCTCTCCCGACTCCCTTCACCCCTCGCACCCAACTCTCTCACTTCCCACGCCTCCACCCTCCAATCCTTCCAAACCCACGAACACCACCTCCAAAAAACCCACCCTACACTCCCCTACCCCTCCATCCTTTATCTTGCCTACCTATCCTTTGCACAATCTCTATCCATCACCCCTCCCCCCTCCCCCTCGACTCTCGAATCCGAAGCCCACGAATTCTCGCAAAACATTCCAAACTGGCCCGCGTTTCCGGATACCGTTTCAGCGCTACAGAAAATGCATAAATATTATAAACTTGTGATTTTGTCAAATCTTAATGAAGAGTCTATAGAAAGCACATAGAAAGAACGATTTGGAATAATATGGATGTAGGATGGGATGCGGTGTATACGGCTCAGAGAATCGGGAGTTATAAGCCCGATTTGAGAAATTTTGAGTTTTTGATTGAGCATATGGGACAGGATCTGGGGGTGAAAAAGGAGGAGGTTTTGCATACGGCGCAGAGTGAGTTTTCTATTCTTACTATCTTAGAGGGTGGGTTGCTTGAAGAGATTTGGAGAATATGTAAATGGGATGAACACTACTGATGATATTAATCTAGGTTTGCGAGCCGATCATGTGCCTGCGAAGAAAATGAATATGACTGGAGTTTGGATCGATAGGGAAAATGAAGGTCAGGATTATGAAAAGTTGAAGGATGAAGTCGCTTATACATGGAAGTTCAGCACTTTAGGGGAGATGGCCGATGCAGTAGAAGAGGCATTCGAAGCCCAGGAAAAAAAGGTATAGATGCCAACAAACAGCAGTAGTATGCAAGCATAATATCTGGGTCTCTAAATACGTTCCATGAGTAACAACGTAGTACACTTTGTGACTTGAAGATTTGAATGATAGATATATATGCAAAGAACCCAATGACACGTGAAGTCGATCCCTCCTGTAAAACCCAACACTCAACACCTAACACCGAGTAATGATTTCGTAGCTCGTTCGCTCATCTCGACATGGATATCAAATAAAATGAAAAATCGCGACAAAACATTCAAGCCCTGCGGCTCTGCGGGGAGTGTGGCTATGATACAGACATTGTTTTCTACACTGCTACTTATGATCGAAACTCAACCGCAAAGGTTATTCATCAACTAGCTCATTGTTCATATTTGATGGGGAGCTCATACTGTGGGACGTGATTCATAAAGTTGTTGATCTCCGTTATCCCTTCAGTTTCTAAGCTGTGCATCAATTCTGTCTGTTGCTCTTGACTTAAACTACCTGTTCTCAGTTCTGCTTCGAAGTTGTCCTGTGAGAACAAATGAGGTGGAAAGTTGTAGTATTCAGGTTGCGAAAAATAAGGCATATTAGTTACTAACGAATGCTGCATCGGTGGTAGTGGCGCTTGAGGCGGTATTTGGTGCTGCTGTGTGTTTGAGATAGGACCCCAAGGTATAGGATAAGATTGCGGTTGCTGTGGTTGTGTAAATTCTGGTGGAAAGTAGCTAAACCTACGATCGGATTGCCCACTAGAGGGACTTACAAAGATTGAATTGGACCGGAAGGACGGTTGCAGCGGAGGTAAGGGATGGCTGTAGTCATATGGAGGTATTTGCTCTGGCATTTGGTTGAAGACGTATCCGAATTGTGGGGGGGATTGATACGCATTGTTAAGCTGCGCATTGTGTTGCGAGTGAGGAAGTGAGGTTGGTGTTGCGCTGGAGTGTTCGGATGCAGACGGCGAGTTTGCGTCGGTCAGCGACGGGGAAGTGGCAGAAAAGGATGAAAGCGAATTATCGCCAAGTTCATAACTTTTGAGGCATGCTTTGGTGAGAGTCATGTAAAGTTCTGATGTTGCTTGAGTTCCTGGCCACCGTTCGCGAGAACGTGCAACGATGTCTAAAGCTAGAGAAATATGTTCTTCAAGTTCTTCCTTCGGGTGAAGAGCACGAACTTCAGAATACGAAATAGACCATAGTACTGTATTTATGGCCATAAATAGCGATAGGAGAAATGGCCATGTCAAGTCTATCATGGCAGTTTTTATTTGCTCGCTTTGCGTCCTGATATTACTTGAAGCAGCATCATAACACATTATCGCGGAACGATAGGACGGCTGGGGAACTTGAGGTGAAGGACGAAACAAGAAAATTATCATTGTATTGTACCTCCCGTTAAACCTAAAAAAGTATATTAGTACAACCATGTTTTGAGGAGATTAACTTTCGAATGGGTCAAGCCGAATTGCGTTTAAGTATAGTTGAGTATGAAGTGTTACCTACCAGGTTTTACTCCATGCGGGCTTTTCAGGAGAGGCCTCGAGCCAATCTCCCAGTTTCTGAAGCATCTGGGCATACCAAGGATGCTCCTCATTCTTCGGCTCATTTCTTTTTCGCAAATAAAGCGTTCTCCGGATCTCTGCTTGCAACAGTCTCATTCGAAAGAAGTGGATGGCTAACCGCTTCTTATCTGACATGGGACCAGGAAGGATACCATCAGCAGTTATGTACTCATCATCTACTGTTTGAAAAAACTGTATGTTCAAATGGTCTCTCCCAATTGCGAAAGCATTCGGTCTGCCCATTGACTGCGCTAAACCAAGCTCCATAGATAAAACAATCCAAACAAGCCTTCGCCGCATGTCGAGCTGTAAAGGATCAACTATACCAATAGATACTCCTTGAGTAATGGTCTTCTCTTCCGCTAGACCTAACTGTTGACACAGTCTCGTAGCAAGTCCAACAATATAGTATATAGCAGTGCGAGTGGGGGTGAGCATAGAATATTGAGCGATCAGAACAAGACACTGTAGCGTCTTGATGTCTTTCGCTCTTATAACATCTTCAATGTACCCCATAGCAGCCAAATAATAGCTATCAGCAAGGCCTGCATACTGCATGTCCAGCTTTTGCATGCTTATAGCTAGAACCATGCGAAGGACGAAATTCTTGTATGGATCGTTATCTCCATCATAAACTTCTTGAAGATTCTTGGCGAACGTAGGCTCGTGTAAAGTAGGGAGCATATACTGGGCTGTGTTGTGGTTAGCGAAAATTAGAGGAGTTCAACGTCACAATGCGGATGAGGGTATAAGCCAAAATTGAGCTCACAATCAGCAATAAGTGATAAGGCTTGTTCGCCAAAGCATAGTTAGCAGCTTGAAAAGACACGCATGTTCTTGAGACTTCACTCAGTTCACTTTTATCCTTCAAATTTACCATTGGTATCACGAAAAACACAAATGCTATGAAGCAATTCACTACTCGACAAAACAAAAAGATCGAAAGAAAATCATTGACTGACCTTTCTGATTAAATACCTCCACCAATTTATCGGTCACTAAGCGACTTGGTAATGTTGGCGCCGGCACAGCAGATATCATAGGATAAGATTTCTTTCGTTCCGAGGCTATATCTGGCGACTGTGCAGGACTTCGACGTTGCCGCACTTCAGGGACGAGCTCCCGTATACTCCTGGTATCTGTGTATTTCTTTGCCTCCTCCATCACTATCCGAGTCATTGCAATGCCACTTGAAGGCCCCAAGTATCGTGGCGTCTCATCATCATCGTTAAGTCGGATCAAGCCTCCAGGGCGTACAATATCTTCCGAGTCTGGAGGATTTCCCTCTTCTTCAACCAATTGGCTAAGTTCCATCTCAAGTGCCCGAACTTTTTCTTGCAATTTTATCACATATGTCCTAGAGATTTTCTTGCCTTTCGTTGTATCGAAGTACTCACATACTGCCCCCGCACGCTCGCAAGGCAAGCATCGTGGTAAATTGGGATCACACCTTGTTTTCCTCTGGAGAATAACAGAAACATCATCAGTATTTCTATACTATAAATTGGTAGATTGGCTAGTGTATTACAAACCTGGCGGCATCTGCAGCAGGCAGTCAAGGTATGTGCGATCCTCGGCGAACTATCCTCGCTCTCATGCGAGCTTTCTCTTGCGTGAAGGGACTTTGCATCGCGAGCTCTATTGACAGAGCCTAAGGCTTGTCTGAAGAGGTCTGCTGTGTCCATCGACAAAGTGATAATGTTAGATAAGAAGGTTGGTGTTGTCGTTGTAGCCCCAAACTTTTGTAAGGCTTATCATCATCGTTGGGGTGGGTTATGTTATCGTTGAGAGATCGTCACCAGAATTAAAGTTGTACTGAACTAGGTGCGCTATCCTCAGATAAATAATCAAAACTCCAAAAACACCTGACGTTGTTTTAGTCAAAGAAATTTATATTCGGAGCCATGCGAAGAAGTTGTGGCAAAGAACAATGGTCGTTACAGAGGCATCGTAACAAGTGGAAATCTTGACCGTTGGGAATTTAGGATGGATCGCAATATTGTATGGGTAAAATCTGGGAGGGGGCAATTAGGATTAGGGATTAGGGATTAGGAATTAGGAATGAAGGAAGCCATCCGAGTCAAACGACTTTTGAGAAATATCCCCGCGATCAAAATGTGGTCCTGTGGAGCAGGGGAATTCATCCTAGTACGCCCTCTACTTCCTAGGTCAGATTTGTCGATACCACGGGGTTGCAAGAATGTTGATCTATCATACCAGAATGGGCATACCAAAATGTCTCGAGAAACATAGAATCCCCTGCTTAATGGAGGACACATCTAGTAAGTTGATGTTGTTCTGGCTCGAGTTGTGATTATATACGCAGATATACGAAAGTTCAGTGCGAGAATTGGTCTTGCAGCTCGTATTAATACATAAGAGCTTGGTCTCCTCATACGTATGAGGTGAAGATTGTATCTATTAGTCAACACACCTATCGAATCAGACGCCTCCCTATGTCAACAGCGAAGGCCTGAGTGATATTCTAATTCCCTCAATGATTAATCCAACACATTGATGCTAAGTAGTAGGGTAATTCAACGACATCGCGATGTTTTATGGCATGCGAACACTCATTATCAGAAATTGAAGTACTGGGTGATAATACTTGATTGAATATTCTATCCATATTCTAGCCTTCTGAATGATTACATCTCTTACCGAGGGACATTGAGGGGTGGATGTTGGGGTGTGCCACAACCGGACAATTGGATTATCGAAGGATTATTGCTTACTATGGTCGTATTATACCAAAGCTCGAGACCCTCAAGAGATACCGTAGTATTCCTTCGTTCATAATCTTTTCCTCTGCCGCCCTTCCTGTCCTCCTTTCCTTCCTTTCTCTGTCTGGTTCTATTGCCGTTCGAGATAACAGAAGAAAGCAATCATCATGCTTCATTGACACACATGCCCGCAGCCATGAGGCGTCGGATGGTAAGCTGTATGTATTTACCGGGTAGTGAGTGTAGTTATGCACATTGGGAGGAACCGACAAGCCATTGGTATCACGATGACCAGTATTCCGGACTGACAGAGTGAATATACACTCTCAGCGATCGAGAGTAGTGCAGTCTCTACCTCCCTAGGTATTCAAAGTAGATTCAGTATTCCATGACCGTTGAATGTCCTGATCATTAGTTTCGAGAATTGAAAGCTTCTGATTGTCGGATTACCATCCGAACCATTGGAAATTATGATAGGTATCGGCTAAAAGTAGTAATAGACGTTGGCTTCTCCTGGAACGGCTCGAACGGTTCGACTGCAGATATACTTATTACTGCATTACAGTTAGCGTACTCGTAATGTTTTCTCGATCGATTTTATTGGGTCACGGGATCAGGACTTACACATCATTCTAAACTATGCCGATGCACGATACACGCTCGAGACACGATCAGAGCTGGTCGTGCAGGAATAAGCGGCCGTTTCTTTCTTCACCTCCAACGTTGTCCTTGTGTCTTTGCGTCTTTGCGTCTTTGCGTCTTTGTTTTCTTTCAATCACTTCTCAACTATCCTGCCATCTTATGCCCTACAACTTCACCTACTCCATACACTAGTGGGGCGTGAAAACCAAAAGATCATCAATCATCAATTTTGCCCGCTCGTAAGATTTACCGAGTACCGAAGGAACGGCTGTACTCAAGGATTCTGCAGCAATCCATTATCAAAGTGCACATATCTTCAGTGGACAATTTGATGCAAGTCTTTCGGGCCCTCCGAGCATCATCAAGTCACATTAGACTCGAATCCTCTGTCTCTGGGTTCCTGGCTACATATATAAGTTGGATCGTGAAAGAGTAATTTTCAAACGCGCAACGTGTAAATTTGGTGGAGGGAGGCAAAAGTCGACTTTTTTCGACGTTCAAAATAATTATTTCTCCGCGTATAATTATACGGGAAGTCGAGTAATTAAGGCGGCCAGCAAGTACTATTCATCTATCGATACACAAGAGCATGAATCCTTCCTGAATGCAACTTTCCTTACACCCTTGGACCCCGCTGCGAGACGATCCAGACGGATTAATACTTTTGCTTCCGCTGCAATTTTAGACAGCAAATTTGTTGGTCAGAGTTCCGCTTCTTCAGAAGGTGGGTTAAGAAATTCCACTTTCGTCTGTCTTTGTGGATCTCTAAACCCATTTCAGTGCGGAATGGTTGCTGTTATTCATTCGCGCATGATACTGTCTTACCCTATGCTATTTGCTCGTGGATTTCTAGATCCGGCTCCATGGCAACTGCGATAGATTCTTGCCCGAGTCGCGCAATCAAACGAGAGAGAAGCTATTGACAGGTAGTACCTTGCATAATCTGCAACATGCATGATCTGGCGGATGGTGCTTAGGAGTATAGGCTGCGCTTCATTGAACCTGCAACTTTCCTTTTCAGTCAGAATTTGAGTTGAATCACGAGGCCTTATATTCAACTGACGTTCCGTAGCTACCCCTTAATGGCAAGAGGGATATGACATATCAATAGTAAAAAGTCTTCATCTGAAAATTCCGAATATTGAAAGACCTAGTGCTAGAGTAAGGATGCGTCGAGCCGGGCAAAGCGCGGCTGATACCCCGCTCCTACGAGTATCTAGGCCAGTCTCAGCATGTTCAAGATGTCAGTCCATCTACCAATAATTATAACTCCATTGGCTAATGCATACTAGGTCGAGCCGCAAAAATTAAGGTCTGAATCTTCCGACCTCGAGCGTAAACTCACTAACACCATTTGAAGTGCGATGGGAAATTACCTGCGTGTACTGCGTGTGAGAAATCTGGACGACTAAACGAATGCTCAAGTGCAAATGATCAGTTTGCGAAGGGAAAGGAAAGGAGGTAAGACACCGCCGCAATAACATTTATGCATACCTAACCGTCAAAGTTATGTTGCTTCTCTTGAATCACGAGTCGAGAAACTCGAGAAGCGCCTGGCATACGCTCGGTTGAGGAAAGCATCTGTTGCGATGCATGACGTTGATACGCCAACAGAATTGCCAGATCGGAAAGACTCTCTGGCTACTATCAGAGCCGCGATTCATGGAAAAGCAGCTAGAAGGAGAGAGGCTGCTGATGTGAATGAATTAGTCTCCGACTTTGGTTTCCTGTAAGACACCAATGCTCATCATCTTTGGGGGACTTATACTAATAACTGTAGATCTGTCCATGCTACCACGCGCGATTTTGAATCATCAACAACAAATATGACATTTGCTAGACTCATCCTTTCAGCGGCCAACCATGACGAACTGCCTGAATCCGATTCTCTACAATTACCACTGAGATCTGTGGCGACAGCATCGATTCAATATTATCTCGATAACATTTTTGCTCTCTATCCAATTGTCTCTGAGACAGCTCTATTCAATGCATTAGATAAAATTTATCAAGGTGGCAGTCAGCCGGTGACTGATTTTGAGCATTGGCTATTCTACATGGTCTTAGCCATATCATCTACCGCTCAATCCCGAAATTATTTAGACTCCAAATATGAGGAAGGTGTTTCTTGGGCTGGCCGTGCTCTTGCCTACGCCGATCATGTTCTTATGCCTGGTCATGTTTCTCAAATCCAGGCCTTGGTCCTGTTTGTTCAGTATGCAATGCTGGATCCAGCCCACTTTGACAGCTGGCAGTTGATGGGGTTTGCTTGCCGGGCAGTTGTCGATCTGGGATTTCATCAGGATCCGCCTAAAGAGCAACAACCAGACAAAAAAGCATTAGATATGAGGAGGAGGATATTTTATTGCGTTTACTCGCTCGATAGGTAAGCAAAATTCTCATCATATCAAGAAAACCCAGTGGATGTTAATAAGACTAGATCTATCAGCATGGTTCATGCAAGAGCATTTTCCTTTACGGACGACTCATCTAGCGTTGAATATCCATCCGTATCACCCTCGTTGCCTCCAATGGGTCAGGCAGATTCAATAGTTGGACCCCATTCCATGGATTCCGCACATCTGTTGTGGCAGTTACGACGTGCTCAGTCAAGTTGGTATCAAGAGCTGTTTCAGTCCAGTCGAGAACCATTGCCACATGGCTCAACATATCTCTGGAAGATGTGCCAAGAAATGCGGGACTGGTCTAACTCCTTTCCTGATTCACTTCCGCTTGCCTTCAAGGATTTTTTCGACTTGGAATTGCTCTATAGTTACGTTTATTGTCTTGCCCCATCATGCCGAGTTCACGTAGTATCAGATTATGCAAAGAATCTGATCTTCGACTACGCCATAACATACATGCAAAAGATTTTTCCTATCAGTCAAGATCCTATCAATAAGGCATTCTATACCTATCATGATGCTCTACGAGTTTATTTCATTGGAAGTCAGTTAATAGCGGTGTTGTCAGACAGTCAAGATCAGATATTCAATGGCTCATGCAACACTGGTGGAAGGAGCTCTCCACCACCATCTCTTCCGATAGTCACTGGATCTGATCACATAGATCGGAGCCTCAACTGTATAAACCACATCAAGGAGACTTTGAGGACATTCGGTCAGAGATGGGAGGATTCAAAGGCACTTCTGTCGAGTTTCGACACTCGAGCCGAGCCAATCATCGCAAGCCTGCACCGGAGAAAACAGCAACAGCAACAATATATCAAAGAAGGGTCTCCCATTGATCATAGCCCGAATTATATGTCACCACCTGGCTACGATCATAGAACTTATCAAATGAAGAATGAGTGGCCAAATATGATCCCAATATATCCGGACGCCTCAGGATTTGGCGGAGCCGGTCATGGAGCAGGAGCAGGAGCACCCGGCTTGTAGAACAAATAAAGTACTTGACCAACCGTCGACTACCAACTCTTTTTTGCTTTTGACTTGCTTGATAAAGTATCAATCTATCGATAAATTCATGACATCACCATCGCTTGAACTCGCAGCTTCCTATAACGGAAAAATCCGATTACTATGGAAAGAGTGACCCCCGTTTATCAGCTGTTCACTTGAACATGCTGCTCGTGCCTTCTTCGCCTTCTAAATTTCATTCTTTATTTCTTAGGGCCAATCTGGTTGCCTACACCTTTCTGTTCCTTTCATCAAGCCTCCTTCATCTGCAATCTTTCAGACACGGTTGTGTCGTATTGTTAACACACTTTTGGAGACAAATATCGTTCTCAGCATTGTAAAATTATTTTACTTTATATCACTTTTACTCTACTTGTATAAGTTGGCCAGTTGGTTCATCCGACAGGATGCCGCCATTCTTTTCGTGAGTAAATGTGTTCTTTTGAAAGTGTGCCTTCTGACATTTCCAGACCAAGGAAACCGAAGGCACCTAGTCGTATCGATACAGAGCAGCGGGCTACTAACTCGCACTACTACACAGCTTTTAAAGTTGTCCTGAAAATTACCGTTATCACTCTCGTTATTTGCATTGCTTTCTTACCAACAGTGGCACTTCGTAACAAACACGGACATCGTTCTGACGAAGTTCTTGTTAAAAATCTGGAACATCCTGCCAACTTCGATGTCTCGACTGAACTTGAACGTCAAGTTACTCATGTTCCACTTCGCTTTGTGAAGTCTGCGAAGTTACTTGTTCAACAATTACGCATTCGTGACTCGAAATTGGAAAAGTTGACGGATGCTTCTTCTAGCGAACGGGTCGAACGATCTGAGGACGTTACTGATGCTACTACGAAAGGTAGTCAATATGGGGATTACTTACTTGGTGGCTCAAAGCGCCAAGCCAAGTCTGAAATCGAACGATTACAGCATTGTTCTCCAGAGATCAAAAGCAAGAACGAAGGGAAATGTATCAGACAATTGCCTCTTCCCATTAGAGACGATGACCGTGTAATTTCAAAGCGTTGTTCTTGGCAAGAAAGACGCACGCACGGCGGAAGGTGTGTCTCTCATGAGTGGCAACCCACACGTCGCTCCTTAATCGTGGATGAAAATACTGCTCTTTCCTCGGTTCATACGCTCACGCCCACTTATACTCACACGCCTGAGGTCACCAGCACTTGTTCCTACGATAGTGGGGTCAAGAACGGAGGAGTATGCCCCAAGGGATTAGTAAATGGTCTAAAGCCAGCGGAGAACAAACCAATTTCTATTTTGGTCAGGCCACCACCTGTCGATCCCAATAGAAAACAACAATCACGGGAAGCAGCAATAGATGAGGAGACCAGTGTCAACTACAGACCCTATAAGGCAGATTGGTGTAGACATGGCTGGGTTCGTACCACTGATGGTTGGTGTATTTATCGAGGTAGCTTTGAATACCAGACGATCAGACCGGAAATTCTTAATAATCCACCCACTTCTAAAAGATCGGTACTATTAGAACCACGGCGTCGTGAAGCGATACTGAATGAACCAACTAAACTCGAATCTAGGCCTTTTCCGGCTAAATCATGTCCAGAGTTTTGGGTTCATACCAATGACGGTTGGTGTTACTATCGTGGCTCATCGAGTAAGCTGTTGGGATTTTGGGGACCCGATACAAAGAAGTCATTATCTCCAGAACAAAAACGTCGCGATGATGGTGTGAGCAATGGGGCCAAAGAAACAAACACTGGCCAAGATGACTCATTTCATTGGATCATAAACGATGACGGTACCTGTGTTCCTGAAAGCACACTATGGGCTGATCACGAAGATCCGGGATTCTATTCGGGGATTCATTCACCATTTGACTCCGGGCTTCACACAGTTGAGTCCATAAATTCAGATATCCCAGATGACTGCATGGGTGCAGGCTTTCCGGCTCCTTCGTGCCCATCTCCTTGGAAGCACGATGATGGCTGGTGCATATGGCTCGGTGATGGTATCGACGATTGGGATTGGAAGAGATCATTTCTAGAGCCTGTTGGATCAACTTCTCAACGTCGTAATAAAGCTGAAGACCAGAAGACACAGGTTCCTTCTTCACTGACTAGTAATGGACTTTCATCTACCATAAAACCTAAACTTTCTGTTGCAATATCGTCATCGAAGCATCCCGCGACTACCACTGCTACACATACTTCTGGTTCCAACTCTATCTCTACCGCCATCTCCCCTACTACCACTCTCCCTTCCCGCACAGTTGGAAAGTGTGACCCCCCTTGGATCCGTACTATGGATGGCCGGTGCTTCTTCGATCCCAATTATGAACGCAAGCATCCTCAAGATCCATTATCCCGGCCTCGAAAGACAATCCGGCAACGACGCGGTGGTTCCATAAGCAAAGAGCGTGATGTTGCTCCCAGTTGGCAAGCTGATTCATGTGAGCCGCCTTGGATTCGTACTGATGAATATTGGTGTATATATAGACCAGATTACAAGCATGGAACACATGCATCTTTGCCTGAGAATACAGAACAATCCAATACCACGAGCCAATCCAATGATACGACACAACCGAGTGCCACAGTAAAACTAGATGTAACAGATCAATCCACTGCTACAGCTCAACCAACTCCCATACAAACAGTAACTTTAATCCGCCACTGTATCAGTGACTTGCGAGGAAATCTTCAATGCTTTGATGAGTCGCCTGGACATTGGCCTGCAACTACACAAGTTTCATCAGCTCATCATCGTCGAGGTCTTTGGCCCGCCGATTGGGTACCACAAACACCAAACGACTGTGATCGTTTTCTCGGAAACACATTTAAGCACTACCAGTGTCTCCAATCGGTCAAACATAGAAACGTCGGATTGAAACTCATCATGGCTTTCCTACTTCTCGCTGGATTTGGTTCTCTTGTATTCCTCATCATCACTTGTGTTAATCGAGCTACACGTCCGAAAGCTCAGCCGTTTCGACAATTCAGCGGGATTGTTGATGCAAATGGTATGACTCAACATTCAGCACCTGTGTGTAACACTTATCCTTGGAATAAGAAAGGAGATACAACGAACCAAATGGACGGAGATCGATGGGCTAGGGGTCCGCCTGCTTACGATCCCTTGAGGCAATTAACTCCAGAGCATTCAGGCAGTTTAGTGGCCTGTACCAGGAAAAATAATTGCGCAAGTGGTAGTTCGGATTCGAATCAGAGTTGGATTAGAAAATTGTGTAATAAATGTTTCAAGAGTCGAACTAATTCGTCGGGCTCGGATAGAGAAGCACAGGCTGGAAGTTTGGGGCATGGGTTGAGGAAAACTAATCATAGGATTGATACGCTGAGATTGCCGAGTGCAAAATTGGCGACGGTGAGGAGGGCAAGTGGATTGCCGAGTGAAGAGAATGGAGATGCGTTCGTGGGTGGAAGTATGGAGACGGTGGTTATTGGAAGTGTAGGGAAGGGGTCGGGAAGTGCGGTGGGTATGAGGGGCTCGGATAGTGGTTCTGCTGGGATTGCGGGTGATACTGATGGTGATCTTGCTGGTGCAGCAGCGAGTGCTTTGATGAAATTGGGAAATCTTAGTGGTGATACGCTTGTGGAGCCGGCACCGACGATGTTGGAATGTAGGAAGGGAAAGGGCGGAAAGGATGTTGGGATGGGGGGTGACTTGAAGACGGGAAATGGTAATGCGAAGAAGGTGGAGTTTCAGGGGGAAGAGGAATTTGAAGAGGTGCGTGGTTGGAGGGATGTTGAGAGGGTTGAACCGTTGAAGATTGAGAAGGTTGATAAGGAGAATTTTAAGAGGAAGGGAGAGGGAGAGGAAATGGGTGGTGAGGTGGAGATGATGTTGATGACAGTTGTGGGGGAGGAGAATGATGAGGATGAGAGGAGAGAGAAGTTGGAGAGGAGGTCTAGTTATGTTTGTGTTAGTGGATGTTAGGTGTGGGAGAGCGACAGAGTATTCTTTGAAGATAGATGGATAGGAACGGAGATTATGACATGGGTCATACGGTATTGGGAATCGACGGTTAGGAGGCTACAACTTCCTTCTTTTCTTTTCATTTCCGTCGGATTATATCCCTATTCATGAAACCAAGAAAGAGAAGAGAAAATAGGATGGAGAAAAGGCGAGGCAGCGGTGGTGTATTCATTATTTGCTCATCTGGAGCAGGAAGATTGTGGTGTCTGCAGGAGATGATTTTGTGGTTTTGTTTTGTTTCTTTTGTCTTGTCTTGTTTTGCGTATTAGTCATTCGTTTAGATAGATTTATAGGGTTCAAATGCTAGATGCTAAGTACTAGCCAGAGAGTTCGAATCGAAGTGCCTTTTTACTCGTCCACTCGTTTACTGATTTATGTGTCTAAAGAAAAGACTGGTGACTGTGTGGTTGACTATTTCATATATTGTAGTGAGGCGAAGGAGGAGGGAAAGGGGAACCATAGGTGGGTGGAAGGTTTCCCCTGATGGAAGGGGAAGCGAGAGGAGAGTCTTGACATTCGGGATTTGCAATCGGCATTACAATTACTGGGAAGGTGATATATCGAATTACTAGGTAGGTACCTCACCTCGAGGCTCGTAGGGATACATGAATATTCACACTCTTGTTTCCATATCATATATGCTAAGCTCACTTTAGCTAAAGATTGTGTTCTATTCTCTTTCGTTCTGTGCACTTTTAATTTCTCTTGCAATACAATCACAGAGTATGTAAATCTTGTGTCTTCATTTCTTCGTGCATTTCTATCTATCTATCCATCTACCACTTTCTTTTTCGCTCTCTCCTCTCGTCGCCTTTTCTGACTCACTCACTCACTCTCCTCTCCAATCCTCGCACCTCCATCCGCTTCGCCAACATAAAGAGAAGAAGAGATAATAACTAAATAACCAAAACAGGGGTATCAAAGAAGAAGAAGAAGAAAACCTCTCCAAATCTCCAGAAAACTACCTTTCCCTTCCCCCCTCCAAAAAATTATAAAGAAGAAAAAAAGGATTATGTAAGATATATTACGTTGTGTTGTGGGAGGTAATACCTAGGGAAGGAGTTCCCAGCAACCAACAAACACCCTGCCTGCCTGACCTTGGAATACCTAAGCTTCCGCTCCCTCTTTAGAATTATTGCCGTGCCGTCTTAAATTTGTGAATAACCCATTTTTCTATTGTTCCCATTGCCGTTATTGTTCGACCCATTCCCCCGCATCATATTGATTGATGGTATCCCGTTATCTCCAAAGAATTAAGAGAAAATATTAACAAATGAAATAAAGCTGTTATTTTTTGCATGGCGACATGGTGAAGAGACAATGAAGTCTTGACTCGAAACAAAATCAAAAGGCAAAAAAGAGAGAGAACGAGAGCGCAGGCTATTAAATGGCCCCCTCTTCACCATCCAAAACCCTCCTCGCAGCATCTAACCTCCGTCTCCAAATTCTCGAATCGTAATTTCCCGCTTCCGTGTCCTGCAATTCCAAAACACATTTTCCCAGGCTAGCGACTAATCGTTCAACGAGGATTTGGTCGTCTTTGGAGAGCATCTGTACTGGTGATGTTCGTGTACGATTGCGGTTATTTTCAAGGGAATCAGAATAGATTGGGTGGGAATTGGTGCTGGAGGCAGTACCAGGTGGAGTAAAGACACTGGGTTGTTCTCTGGGTTTGACGGAGAGAGGGGCGCTACGTGTCGTGCTGGCAGAGTTTGCTGAGTCGAGGGAAAGGTTCCTGGAGTGGACGCCAGGTATTACATCAATATCGTATAATCCAGAGCCTCGAGCTATTCCAATATCGTTGTAGTCATTGATAATAGTATTCCTGGGGGGTAAAGATCCAAATGTAGATCGTTTGGTTGCAATAGAAGTGGTTGTAGCTGGCTTATAAGGAGAGATTGTGGGTGAGTCCGGGGCGTCAATTTTACGAGTGTCGGTAATAGGAATAGCTAAATCAAAAGGATCTTCATCTTCATCTTCATTATATTCATCCTCCTCCACGTTTGACTTGGCAGTTGCGAAAGTTGCTAGAGTAGAAATCGAAGCGTTACTGTCAGATCTAAGATGTACCATGGAAGATCGTTGACTGGGGTCATGGCCGTTCTCTACAAGTGGTATTGGAACTGAAGGTCCTCGAGTTGTTTCCACAGAATCCTCTGAGCTAATGCTTCCTCGTCTTTCTCGACTCATCGTACCCATTGCGCTGTACAAGAAAAAATGTTCATAATCGAATGCATCTTCACGATCTTCGTGTGATACCTGTTCGGTTACTGATTCGTGATAAATTGATGCATCACTGTTGTCCTCGTTGTCAAATTCGTCAAATTCCGAACGGTCGTCACTGTAACTATCATTGCTTGAAATTTCAGACACCTCTGAGCAAGTATCATAGCCCTCCTCCTCAACTACTTGTGTTTGATTCTGATGGGCAGGGAACCCAGGTGGCTTTACCTGGCCCTCATCAACATCTTCATATATACTTGTAGCATCCGATTCGGCATATGTTGGAGCTTGTCTCGTAGATACTTGGGTCGGCTGTGCAGTGTACCCCTTCTTCGTAGGGTCGCCACTCTGAATCCCATTCGACTGAACATGATCTACTACTGAATTTGCCTTGGGAACGTCTTGACTATTAACACCTCCACTGTACCACTGTTCTCCTACCGTAAAGGGACTTGGAGTACGTAAACTTTGGAGACTGCGACGTTTCATATTATCATCTCTAGCACGATCTCGCAAAGCGGACAATCTTCCTTTCAAATCACTCATTTGATGTTGTATATCCTGCATTCTTATGCTTGAAGTTGACGAAGAGCGACTTAAAAGTCCGTCTCGGGTAGTTGAGTATTCTCTATCAGTCTCGGTCCTTCCATTAGTCCTGTCGTCAAATTCAGGAACGCCATCCTCGACCAGCGGTTCAAGATGCGATGGCTGTGAAGGAGAAATCCTGCTATGTGGTGAAGAATGCCCGGATCCTCTTGGCCTTCCATTTTCACTGCTCTCCTCCTTAATCATTCCCGGAGAAAGTGGCGATGCTGGTTTTGGTGTATGCGATCCCATAGAACTTCGAGCTCTGTATGTAGCTGCCGCGCTCGAGGCGCGAACAGGAAATGCTGTGGCTCGCGAAGGAGATATGTTATTTTCGCTCCAGACCCTCGAATGACCAGGACTCGAAGCAGTTGAATCTGTATGAAAATTGGAAAATGATCGTTGTCTCGAAGGAATACCACTGATGCGCCGGTCGACTTTTAGGAGAAATGGATTGGTCAAAGGACTACTACTGTAAATCGAAGGCATGGAAATTGATGGCGTTACAATAAGGGAGCTTCGCGCTCGTGTTAAATTCCCTTCCATATTCTAAAGAGGCAATTGTCAGTGTGTGAAGACATTTTGTGACATGTTGAAACTCACGTTGAGTCGACGTTTGGCATTCAATAGAATTTGTTCCGCCCTCCTACTCAAAGCGGCACTCGAATTCAGATCATCTTCCCCCTCTCCCAAATTTCCTTCCCTGCGCGACAATCTGCGTGTCTCTTGTTCCACAAGTTCTTTGCGATAAGGATCCGTATATGATTCTGCCACACTCTCCTCATCATCACCCTGGAAATTACTATCATCCACACTGACTGTATCATCGATATCTCCAAACATGGCCGATTGTGGCTCTGACGTGACGGTACTAGTAGATTCCAGAGATATTTTTCTCTCGTGCGTTCCGGTCTTGGTTCCCGCCCTCCTCAAATCATGTCCCAATGATACTGAACTTACGCGATGACCATTCTGAAGCTGCTGTTGCTTGATGAACCTGCGTTCAGCGGGACCCGGTAACTTCTTTCCTGGCGTACTTTCCACCTCTGTGACCTCACCTATATCTGATAACATTGTTCCATTCCCATAGATAATTGGCGTGGTTGGTGTCCTAGGCGGCGGGCCACCTAGATAATCTGAATTATTTGATCGTTGCCATGGTTCCCCCGACGAAGAAGTAAATTGAAAAGAGGTATGCCGCGATGAAGGTTCTGAGTCGTAATTCGTTTCATTATGTAGTGGGAGGATCATGTCTGGTTCAGTTAAAGTTGGACTTTGTGAACCAGGTCGAGGTGGATAAACCATGATTGCTGTAGTACTGGAGGATTGACTCTGCATGATGGCCTAGCACCAGGCACTACCACGAGAGCTGAACAAAGTTTCTTTTTTTTTTTTTTTTCCCTCTAGAGTCGGGGAACTTTGGAACAATGTATTAGGTACTGAGTCTGACAATTGAGCATCCAATGAAATATGTGTATTTATTTTGACAGTTTTTTTTTGGCGCCAGCAGTTGTTGGTAAGACGATTTATTCGTCGGTGATTATTGATTTATAGATTGGGCTTCTGGTGTGCTATGAGGGTTGATTTGGTAGGATTCGGGGATAGGGGCCATCCGGTTTCGTTTGGTCTATATCACGGTCGTGCGAGGTTGCAGTCAATTCATATATTCATGGTGAATAGTTACCAAATTTGACAATTGGATATTTTCAGGAGAAGGAGGAGAAGGCGGAGAGAGAGAAGGAGAAAGAATAAAGTGAAGTGAAGTGAAGTGTAGGCAGGGGAGAGAGATAGAAAGGTCTATGAAAGTTACTGGTATCTATCTATCTATGCTCTCCCTCTCTTCATTATTCGACCTACCAGCCTACCTAGTCCCCTAGTCATAATGATTACTTTTAATTCTCCCTTTCAATACTACACCGTATTGCATGCATTGCATCTTGCATCTAGCATCTATCATCTAGCATCCAGCATCCAGCATTTGTTCGCATATCCCCACGCCACGAGCAAAATAATGTCGGACATCGACGGTACAAGCTACTTGTTACCTACGTCGAATCCCAAAGTATTAGCTACAGCAATAGCACGAGTACCAAGTCCATACCTGGGAGGCATTGTGAAGGACAGACAGTTCACGGTTCACACATTGCACTGAGAACTGAGATTATTTCTCCGTGGGTGGTTTTGTATGGAGATTCATATCCAAACAAGTTCCACAAGTTTAATTTCTATACTTCGTAGTATTATGTATCCCGATGATCTTCGTCGGTAGTGAAAGTGGAGGTGGAATTTGGAACTGGCATTGGAGCTGGAATATGAAGGGCGGAGCTTGATGAATTGATTTTTATATTACTGTCATGTTTATCCTTTTTGATCCTTTATTGCTTGATTTCTTTTACTTCTCTTTCTCTTTCTCTTTCTCTTTCTGTGTTCCATTCTCCTCTTCATCTCTTTTCTTCTTCTTCTTCGCAACTATCCATTCTTGCTACATGCTAGGTACTAGTCAAGCTGGTATGAATACAGTACTACCTACCTACTCACCCATGAAAATGAAGGAGTTCCGGATGGTACACAGAAAAGTTTCTGTAGTTGCAACTGTACAACCCTCAATCCAATCCAAGATTATCTTTCACTCTCAACTCAATTCGTCCCACCAAGTGACCGACCACTATAATAATCTGTAAGGTACACCATACATACACAGATTAATAAGACCCGGCTTATTATATGCACAAAGCACCTTCGACTCCGGGGCCACAAAATAGCCCTGGATGGTCCCATCCTTGTAAAGCCACGTTGATATACGATACTGATGTTAATCTTTTACTCAAGAAGTGCAAGGACAATTGAAATTTGACTCCATAGGAAACATCAAAGCAATCAAAATCTAGAACGTGAAGAAGTACACACCATAACCTTACATGGTAGAAGAAAAAAATAAAAAAAATAAAAAAAATGGAAAAAATAGGAACTTGGATCACCAGGGCCATCAAATTCATAAAATAAGATTAAAATCATCGGATTTTCACATTGAGCATTGGAAATACCCCGTTATGTTGGGTTCTCGAAAGGGAGTCATTTCTCGATTTCACCTCTGATCTTCTGTCAAAGAGCGTATTCGTTACTACATGATCATTGCCGAAAGTATATAGATAGCAGTATGAATTTAAATACTGGTTGATGATACTGCAGTTGTATCAAATCCCCTCTCTCCCATCGTTCAAACTTCAAAATGATTGATAATGAACCCAGATACACAGGGAAAGAGGGTCAACGACTCAACGCCGATTCAACGGTCATAAAACCCTCCGAAATTGCATTCAGTTACGAAGCGGCAACGTTTTTAATTGAGTAATATATTTCATCTATGGTTCATATATCATATTGCTGGCATGAGATTTGGAGATAAAGAGTCGTATCATTCATTATACACGATGATTGCGACATGTTTTATCAATCATTTCAACAAGGCTGAATGCCGAAATATGTATTCGTCGGGATAAGGAGAGGAAATTCCATAGTAGGTTGGTTATGGGGTCAAAATATGAGTTGTGGGGTGGGAGTCTGACTGCTAACAAATCACAATCTTTTCTCTCTCTCAATGATGGAACTGTACACGATGAACACCGACAGGAATTCGGATTTGTATGTTGAACTGGCTATGGACCCGGTATATATTCAGCATCTCAGTGGATGAGTCATTATCAGACTATTGGTAGACTACTTGCCCGGAAAGTGGGAGGAGTCATGGAGGTATAAGTATATTCTCCAAATGCTCATTGATCACGTATCTTCAATGAGATAATTACAACACATCATATCCATTACCCTAACAGTATCTGTATACTCAATACCAAATATTCAACACGAGATTTCATACTCATACTCAAACTCATCTATTGTTCTACACCCATCCATTCTCCAAACCCATCCATTCTCCAAAAACTTCCCATCCCACAAACCCCCCTCCTCTCCACCGCTTTCCAAACCCCTCTCCATCATGCCCCCCATCCCCATCTCCCCCAACCCCTCCTACTCCATCCACCCCTGCACCCCCACCGACCTCCCCTCCATGCTCACCACCTACAACCTCTCCTTCGCCAGCGACCCCTTCCGCCTCGCCCGCTGGCCCTCCTCCCAAGTTTCCCCTTCCGTCTTCACCTCCTTTCTCACCAACATCTTCACCAAATATCTGCAAACCCCTCACACACACACCTGGAAACTTGTAGAAAATTCCACCGGGAATACGGCCGGCTGGACGCATTTCGCTGAACCACATGTGCTGAGTCGAGAGGAAGAAGAGCAGAGCAAGATAGAAGAGGAGAAGGAAGAGAAAGAGAGGAGAGAAAGAGGAGAGGGAAAGTTTCCGGAAGGCTCGGTGTTGGAAATTTGTGAGGCGAAGATACAGGGCTGGGATAGAATGAGGGAGAAATGGTATAAGAGGGAGGAAATGTTTTGTATGTCACTTTTTCTTCTTCTCCTTGTTTCCGTTTTCTTCGTAGTTTTCTTTGGGGTTTTCGGTGCTCTTGACATTTCTTAGCGAGTACTTCATTCTTCCTATATTACCCTTTTCGAGTTCTTTCCTTTCATTTCGAAGAAAATGAATAGTCACCTCGTGTCAATCTCATTTTGCACCAGAAAGAACGCCCTTCATTTCCATACTCTTCCCTTCCCCTCACTATCATTACCCTCTCCCTGATTTCCCCATCCACCACCTTCCCATACAAACCCCCAAAACCCATCTAACCCCCACTCAGTAATTTACTTCCTCTCCATCTCTCCCCCCTACCAAAACCTCGGTCTTGGTACCCTCCTCCTCACCGCAATCACAAATCTCGCAGATGCCCAAGGGAAAAGTAGTTATTTAGAAGCGACGGCCGCAGGGTATCCGGTGTATGTGCGCGCGGGGTTTAAAGAGGTGGATTGTATGGAGGTGGATTTGGGAGAGTTGGGGGTGGGCAGGAATTGGGCGATGGTTAGAGGGGGGAAGAGTAGGAGAGAGGATGGGGAAATGAGATGGATGCGTAGATAGATGGATAGGATGTATTGCTTTGCACTTACTACATACATTGCAACACTAGAAATATATATAGAAAGCATTCAAGGATTCATCACATGTTTAATCGCTCGTATATATCGAGAGATAATTGACTAAATTAAGTAACCGACTGACTGACTGACTGACTGCATGTATGATCAATAATAAAACTAATAAACCAAAACCAATCCAATGCACTCAGTAGTTAACATCTAATCGCATATCCAATTACGATATTCTAAAACAACGCAGTGTTTACTCCAACCAGTATGCCGTAAGTTCATCATCCAACCTAGAAATCTTCCTGCTTTACCCAAAAACTTTCCATCTGAGTTCAATTCCAGGTCTTGACTTGGGTTCCTGACGCATATTCATAGTCTGTATGAGTATTCCCAAACCCGGAACCTGGGGCAAATATGAAGATTGGTATTTCCCCTCCACAACCATCAATACACCACCGCCTGCTCGCAAGCACCAAGCCCCCCGACAAAAGTCCCCTACCCCTACCCCCTAATGCAAAACCCTCCCCCAGGGTTCCCTCCACGGCACTCCCAAGGCCTCAAAAATGGCCCTCTCATCTCTCCCCTCCACCAAAGTCCCCTCGGTGACTTTCTTCCTACTCTCCCACTTCCCCCCTTTCATCCCACCTCTCATAACATCTCTATACAAACCACGTTGATTCAACCTCATCCCCTTTTTCCCAGCGAGTAAACGCATACTCCGATTGAATATATCGTCGCCGGTGAAATAGATGAGTGCACCGCCGATTTCGGACGCTGGGACAAGGAGGAAATCGATGCGGCGCCAGGGGCTGAGAGGAGTGTGTTGGGATTGAGAAGAGGAAGAGAAAGGGGGAGAGGGGAGAACACAACATCCGTGCCATTTTGACCCTTCGTTATTATGCGGTACTGCAAGGGCTGCGGTCAGAAAGTGGGAATCTGTGAGAGATTTTACGAGAGAAGAGAGGAAGGGTGTTAGTTGTGTTGTCTTGGTAGTGTGGGGTTTAGAGATGATGATATCGATATCGCCTGATGTTTTTGCGCCGCGACGATAGGAACCACCGATTGTGATTTCGATTTCGGGATCGATGGATTTGCTCGTTTCGATGATGAAGGTACCCAGTTGTTCGATTTCATGGCGGGGAATCCGGAGTTGTAGATCATCGTAGTGTTCGATGCCGATTTGTTGACTGGGGGTGAGTTTGATGTTGTTTTTGAGATCGGCAAAGGAGCGATGGCCTTGAGAAATCCATTTTGAGGCGAGCTTGTAGTTTACACCATAGATGCCCATGAATAGTTTGAGTATTTTATCATCTGGTTCTGCTTCTGCGTGGTCGAGACGGCGGAGATGACCGGTAAGGACTATTTCTTCGATTTTTTTGGCGATGCGTTGCCCGATTTTGGGGATTACGATGGCTTCGGAGAAGGTGCGGATCAGGGCGGGTTGGTTTTTGAGTTGGCCGCATGCGAGCATGTAGGAACGGGTACGCCATTGATCGCCGATTCTTTCATAATAGTCTTTCATCCGTGACAGAATTTGGATTGTGTGATCGTTGGGATTGGGTTCGTCGGAGGCGGTTCCACCTGTCATGCATTGGAAGTTACTTAGACTTCCTTTGCCCGCAGGAGCTGTTCGACGGGTTTTGGTGGGAGCTTTTAGAGGGGAGCGACGACCATCTTCTGAGTCTGATTCATCAATGGTATCATCAAATTCACTGAAATTCGATGTTAGATCATCGTCAGAGTTGTCATGATCGAGTACACCTTCGGTTGCCCTGGCTAATTCGATTGCTTCATTTAGGATACCAAAGTCTGCGTGATTTGGGTTGGGAGAAGATCCTTGACTAAGGTGCTGCGAGCTCTCTTCCGTTAAACGATTTGGATCCGTTCCCGGTGACCCTGGTACAGAATTTGAGGTCGAGGGAAAAGAGACCCGTTTGACGGTTGGTATTGAACGTTGACTACGTTCAGGTGTTTCTTTTGGAGGCACATATTCCCACTTATTAGGTTTCCTGTTACGAGGTTCTAATTGAAGAGATTCATTCGACTGTTGTGACATTGATGGTATCGGCATCTGCTTCTTTTCGACGACTGCATCTGGATTTTTGACCTGATATTTCTTCCCAGTTGGTTCATACAGGAATTTCTGTTCAATGCAATCTAATAACCATTCCTCATTTACCATACTGGCTCCAGGTGGAAGAACTCCGAGGTAGGTCACAACATCCTTGCGTGTCGAGGAGTTGTCAATGATAAGATGCGTGATGGGCTCGTTTATATCTCTAATCCATGTTGCGCCGCGCTCTCTTGCTTTAATGATGCGAAAACGTCTAACTGGAGATTTATCATCGTTAGGAAGGAAGAAAAAATTAAGACCTTGGAAGACCCGATCCTTTGGGGGAACAAACTTTAGAGGTTTCTCTTTCTTCTTGGTGGGTTTTTTGGTGGCCCCGTTTTCCTGGGCATCTCCTTTTCTCTTTTTGCTAAGCATTGATGCGATTCCTGTACTATTGGTAAGAACTAAGGTAGCTGATGTTGGATTTGATGTGCTGCGTTGATCTTTAGTTGGTCTTTTTGCTGAGCTATCTGCACTTCTTAAAGATGACGAAGTTTCCTTCTCAAATGAACTACCAGTAGAAAGCGTAGCACGCGATTCACTTCGAAGACCAGACCTTTTACGAGGTGACTCAAACGGTTTCTCCGTCGTACTATCTACCGTATCTTTAGCCGTACTTACACTCCCTTTTGGCTCCGAATGACTTCGCTGTAATGTTGGAACATTTTTGAGAAGCGGTTTATGTAGCTTTCGAGGTGGTGGTAGATTTGCATCCTTAGATAAGGGAGGTAGCAAACTACGCTTTCTTTGTGATGGAGCATCCAAAATGGGATTCTTGCATTTTTTCAAAAATTCTCTCGATTCATTGAGCTCCCCATCATCTGAATCCGAATGACTTAAAGCATAGAGCTGTGTGAAGTAGCTAGCTTTGTCTGCCTATTTTTGATGTCAGATGAGATCATTTGGAAATTCTCCGTTGCGTTTTGCTTACCATGGTGAGTAGCGAATAGAAATACAAAACAAGAAGCAATATATATCCATAGACTCCAAGATCAAACCATGAGAGGTTTTATGCTTGTAGGTTTTGGGAAAATCGTAGACAAAACAATGATGCGTGATGTCTCAGAGTGTGTGATTCCTTTGTTTTGATATTGCGCCTGGTGATCGATCCCGCCAAGAAAATGTACGCTAGTACTGGGTTACCGAGCTACCGCTCCTTTCCCTTCAGCAAAACAACATCAAATTCTACTCCCTACGACTACAACCAACATCAAATCTTCAAGAGTGTCGAATATTAATTGGCTTTTGAATATGTGTGGAATGTTTGAACTTTGACACCACCTCAATCCGGCTCCCAACCCGGTATCAACACTTTTAAGACCCCGTGCCGCCCCGTACGCCCCTTTCCTTCTGGATTGCTGACTTCCGAAAGCTCCTATCGATATCATCAGTCTCAACGGTATTCATCCGATCATGAATACTGCAAATACATTTCTCCGCTTCCTTGACCTCCCTTTGGAGCTGAGAGTACTCATATGGGAGCTTGTTGCTTTTCACAAACGTATTCTAGAATTGAATTACGACATTGTTGATAAGAAATTTGTCAATTATGGCCCCCCTCCAGCCATACTCCATACGAATAGAGAATCCCGTAAAATTGCTCTCCAATCTTACAATATGTCATTCGGAACGGATACACAGCCAGCGGATATTTACTTTAATCCCGTTTGCGATACAATATATTTCAGTTCGAGACAGTATGTGGATGAAGTGATGGCTATCGCAAAGCATTTTTCTATCCAATCACCATCTCAACCCTACCATCATCAGATTCAATCCATTGCTCTGGCGAAACAATTTTGGGGTGCAGCTGGTTACAGCCTTCCATTTCATCTTTCTCGCGCTCTGGGAAGCATTACTCGTTTCCGTTCGACTTTTCCGCACATGAGAAAAGTCATCCTAGTGAGAGGAATCCCAAGCGAGAAAGAAGTTGATTCGTGGGACCGCTATTCAGGCATAACGCTATTGGAGTCAAACATAGACGAATTCAAAGATGATATTTTGAACCTTGTTATGTATGCATTTGCAGAGGATGCGAAGGCGCGACCGGACGAAATAATCGAGGTGAAGGTAATGGAGCACCCTCAAAAAAGATGCGATTCTCATTTCCAAGATCAGGATCATTTGGTTCTTTGGTAGGACACTAATATTTTCGCATTCTAAAGCACCAATAGCAATCGTGCGGAAAGCACGCAGCACAGCACTTATCTGTTTGGTTGATGGCATATCACCTTATTCACCAACTCGAGCTATGCAAGAGTTTCGACTCATGAATATGAAGTATACAGCATAGCAGGCATTACCGGGTTGCACAACTCACATGTCAAATAATTTCCCTGTCACATATTTGGTGTTAAGCGTTTGGACGAAACACAGAGATACCCCCTTGTTTTTGTGTTGAGAGTACATAGATCAAAAGTAGCCTGCAGCTTGCAGATTCTGGCAGATTTCCACGCGTGTAGATACTCACTTTGGATGCTCATGTGGCTTTATCCTTTATCCAATATTTTACAAGGCGGTGGTGAGATCTCCACCCCCTCAAAAGACTGGTAAGATGGGTAAGATGGGTAAGATGGGTAAGATGGGTAAGATGGGTAGGATGGGTAAGATGGGTAGGATGGGTAGGATGTGTATAGATTTATTGAGGCGACCCGAAATTCAATCAAATCCTTTGAAATTGGGTGTAACACTTAACACATAAACAAACAACAATTAAGCAGTGTCTCAACGCTTTGTTAATTTACACATTTACACATTTACACATTACGATGACATTACGATGGAAACTTGGGTAGCAATTTAAAGCAGGCGTAACCCTTAATTAATCGTGTCTAGGTACGTACTACCTAGGGATGTTTGTCACTCCAATACACTAACCCCGCATTACGATCTATTATCCGGAGTTGAGTCTCCACTATGTATGGTTTATTGCAGGGGATGAAAACGTATTAACGGTTCTAGCACCAGATATACTTCGTACATACATTGCCACTCGTAATAAGTATGGTGTGGGTGGCATTGGTGGATGTGTCGCCATTTCATATTGTCAAGAGATACTTACTTGAATACACATACATGTGCATACATTAGGAGTTTCCATGATAAGTATCTACTCCGCTGAAATGGTATGGAAGCCTGTACCAACAATTAGTTCCTGTTGCTATTCGAAAAACATTTGAGTATGCATTAGCGCGCTTGGTCGAAAGCAATTTAAAAAGATACTGGCCTAAATATACTGGGGTAAAAGGTTTCGGTTCCAGATCCCATGTCTGTATCCCGTGGAATGAGAAAATGCCTCCTTCGCTGGAGTTGCAGGTTTGAAATCTCGGTAGGGTATTTCGAACCAGAGGATTGGGATTGTTCTTGTCCTTTAGGTAGGTGGAATTACAATGAAAAAGCCACCACTTGTGTTGTCGATTTGTTATGATTCGCGGATTTTCTTAATGTGGGATTATCCGCTTCTATTGATCTTCCACAGAAGCTTTTTCTGGAGTATGGGGGATTGCAATTGTCATCTGCTAATGTTGGAAAGTTCCTTGGTCATTGGTTCAAGGTTGTGCCTTAGTCTACCGCTATACTTTCCCCGTTCGTTCGGTTACCATTTCGAGTTTCGTTGGCGTAAGCTTCATGGTTATAAGCTTCAAGGGGGAGCCAAAATCGCTGAGAATGGGGTGCGGGAAACGGCCTGCTAGGTTATCATCCTTGTCGCATCGAGACCGTGTGCAGGCACAATTTACATAAACGACCGTAAACTGCTCAACATGCGATGCTCACGCAATAAAGTGTGGGTGGAGCCTTGTAAGAAGTTCTAGCGGTCGATCTTGTCTCTTCCATTTTTAATTGACAATCTTTCCACTTTTTCGTTGTGGAATTTCTCTTGTATTAATATCAATATCGATATTGAGATCTACCTTTCATTCTATATCTGATAAGGCTGGGTCCTAGTTGACCAAAATGGGGATCTTTAACGCGGATAAGACGAGGGTGTACAACTGGTAAGGCTTACAGTACTTTTTTGATAGTAATGGTGACCTAACGCTACATAGGTATATCTCGCTCGTCGCAGCATCATGCATGGTGCTATATGGATATGATGCATCTGTATACAATTCCGTACAAGGCTCAAAGAACTGGGTAGCTTACTTCAACCACCCAGTATGTTTCCTATCAAAGAGTCAGCATTTGATCCAGACTAACAAACGATCAAGGATACCGAAAAAATTGGGGCTGTCAATACTGCCTACACTGTCGGTGCCATTATCGCTGGATTCTTTCTCGGTGGTCCAGTAGCAGATTGGCTTGGTAGAAAATGGGGTATGGCAATTGGTTGCTTTGTGACTATTGTCGCTACTTTCATTCAAACATTTTCTCCTCGAGGTCAACTTGGATGTTTTATCGCTGGTCGTGTGATTATTGGTCTTGGTCAGGGTGTTGCATTGAGTATGTTTGTTGAATCCTTCTGTTCAAGTTTCTGCTAATCAGATATACAGCGGCGGGACCTGTGTACATTGGTGAACTTGCACCACCTGAGATTAGAGGAAAAATAATGGCCTTTGTGAGTTTCACTGTACCGAAGTTTTGGGGAACTCAGAATCGCATGCTGATATAGACTTGTTACAGTGGCAATTGTTCTATTCAGTTGGTTCATTCATTGCCTATTGGATTAACTTCGCCTGTCAAAAACATGTTGAGACGCTTGGAGAATGGGGTAAGACTCTCACTGTTTACTTTCACGTTCTTAATTTTCAGATGTGTTCAACCACCTCTTGTTTATCCTTTCACTTCAAATCCATATCAACTCATCTCCACCACCAACTAACACACCCACCCCACAGACTGGAAAATGGTCGTCATCTTCCAAATGCTCGTCCCCATCATAATCCTCACCCTCCTCCCCTTCATCCCCGAAAGTCCTCGTTGGTACATCCAACACGGCGGACGTGTGGAAGACGCCCGCGTCGCTCTCCGTCGCGTACGTGCCACAGAACAAGACGTCGAAGACGAAATTCTCGTTATCCGGGAAGCCCTCGAGTTCGAAAAAGAAGCCATTTCCTCCTCCTATTCTGCACTTTGGAAAGATCGCTCGGTCCGAAAACGTCTCATCCTAGCTTTCATCTTGAATATCGGGCAACAGCTTACCGGACAGGGAACACTGAATACATACAGTACTGCGATTTACAAGAAGGTTTTCCCGGATGCTAGCACGATTGCGTTGATCAATGCGTTGAATGCTACGTTTGGAATTCTCTTCACGCTGAATGCGGTGTGGACTGTTGATCGCTTTGGACGAAAATTCCTTCTTATTGTGGGTGCGATCGGTATGTCGATTTGTATGTTGATCGTTTCGCTCGTGGGTACCCTCACCCCGAATACTGGCGCCAAGGGAGATTCAAAGTCCCATCCTGTTGCCATCGCGATTGTATTCCTACTGTTCCTATTCATCTTGTTCTATAAACCCAGTTGGGGAGCTACGGTGTGGATTTGGACCGCGGAAGTCTTCAGTATGAATGTTAGAGCTCAGGCGGTGGGTATGTCGAGTCAGATGCAGAAGTAAGTTATGAGTTTTCTTGTCCTGTCTCCTCTTGAGATAATCCCATAGATTACTAACACTACCTAGCGTAGCAAACTCCATCTTCCAACAATTCTTCCCAACCTTCTTGAAAAACCAAGGCTTGTACGTTCCCTCCCCTCCACCCCTCTCCTTCCCCTAGATAACTAACCCCTCCCCCACAGTAAAACCTTCTACTTCTTCTTCAGCATCAACATCTTCCTCGCGCTTTACGTCTGGTTCCTCGTCCCCGAAACGAAAAAAGTATCGCTTGAAGAAATCGACGTGTTGTTTGGTGGTTCCAACCACGTCGAGAAAGGTGGTAATCTGCTGCATGTACATGATGCGCATCATGCTTCGCTGGGCGATAATGTGGGAACGGGAGCCGCGGTGGAGATGGGGGGTGTGGGTAAGGGGAGAGAGATAGGAGAGATTAAGGAGGAGGAGATTGGAGGGGGGAGATAGGGTGGGTGGGGTTGGAGACTGGTATGAGAGTGGGTGTACGTAGATTGTGAGTTGTAAGATGAGTGAATATAGGGGAGATGGACGAAAAGCTGGAATTCGAGTTCTGATATTTTGATGATTAAAGATGAGGTTTGGTTTTGGGGGATTAGCATTGTTTGGCTTGGTTTGGTTGGCATGGGATGGGATAGGATGGGATGCTCAATGGCTGGCTATCGCTCAGACCAAGAAGAAACTGTTTACTTTCATTCTCTATACCCTTGTCGTCTTGCAATAATTATGGGTGCAATTAGGGTTAATTTAGGATAAATATCATTATTCAATTCAAGTCTGCTTTTTACAATCTAAATACATTATCTCCAATCAACTCGAGTAAACCTTTCTAAGATCTTCAAAGATCCAACTGCAAAGCCATTTACCCCTTTGGTTCAGGTTTAACGACGATCGTCGGTAAATCCTTGATATCTACATGCTCTTGCGTTCCTAGATCTACCACCCTTACGGCTTCTACTCCCACAATCCCTTCCTTTAACGCCATGAATTTGAGTTCAACTTCGTAACATGCTGATGGTGCAAGTGGCCCTACACGAGTATCTGTACTTAGACAAACTAGTTCGCTGGATTCCATTGCTGAGTTTCGCTGTATGGCATATATTATATTTTCATCGAGGACAGCATCCGCAACTTTTGGATCCCGACGTGTGCTGCCATGACCAGCCGAAGGAGGGCGTGTTACACGAGCTTCAGTTCGACGTCTTTTTGGTAATACAAGAAGAGCAAGCTTCCGGGGTCTGTCAGATCGGTTCACTATGAAGATCGACCAGATGAAAGGATGACCTGGGTAGATAGGAGATGTAGATGGAGAGGAAAATGTCATGGTAACGCCAAAATCTGGGACAGAATTTTGATGACGATGATGTGGGCGTGTTGGAGTGGTCGCTTCGATTGTTGGAAGAGCATCGGGATGATTGATTGCTAGAGAGGAAATCGTTGGAATGTTGTCAAACGTTGCGCCGATAGATAGCGCAGAGGGTCTGTGAGGACGTTGAATAGGTTTCGTAGGTTGACCGAAGCCGTTATTAATCGGGGGTGTGAAGTCTAGAGATGTTGACCATTGCATCAGAATCTGTGGCTTACAGACAGAAGTGACATTGGCATTGGCGGTGATAGATATGTCGATGGCTCGAATTTGAGACTTGTTAGTAACATCAATGTCATCAGGCAATATCCGGTAAAGAAAGCTAATATCGTCTTGAGGTCGACAAGTGATTGGAAGCGCTAGCCCGGGGATTTGATTTAAATCTTGTACCTGTCCGCCATGCACCTTCAATTGTATATCTGTGAGTATGATGTCACAATTCGCAAAAGAAGTAATATCAATATCTAGCGAAGCTATTACTGAAGTGTTGTTGGGTACACTACTTGGTCTGGAATATCGCACACGGGCATTTATAGCTGGGTATACTTTGATTGATTGCCGTGAGATGTTCTTGAAAGGTCGAGCTAAGTCGCGAGAAATTTGCGCTGCTGGTGCAACTCTTGCGACTCGCAATGCAGATAGTCGTGGCCTGATACCGTTCAGATATGCATCACCACTGAAAGCTTCAAGTAGATTCAAGCCCGATGGGATCTGACTTGGGAGATATTCCTGTCGCAACGCATCCGTGTCGACCTGTTCCGCTGCTTTGAGATTCGCCGTGGCCGCGAACACCAAGGAGGGATTCTGCAAGCGTAGTCGTGGTCTTGCAAGAAATGCAGATAATTTCCATATCAAAAGTATATGCCCGTTATTATTGGCGCTATCAGCCTCGTCTGAGCCCTGCACAACTATCAATGGCTCATCGTTTTCCTGCACGGAGCCCTTGTAAATCAGTTCACGCCCCACCGAGCTATCTTGATGCTCGCCATTCGCATTGATGACCTGGCCTTCTACGCTGATTATAAGTCTATTAAGATAGGATCGAAGAGACCGTTCGTCAAAGTAGGGAGTTCGTAGGATGACATAAATATTGACCGTTTCATCTAACATCTACGAATGAGTAAGATAGAGAGCTTTTCCAGTAACTCGGGGGACTAACCAAAAAATAGAGCTTGCCTTTGAGGAATGGCAGCTAATGAAGAACCATTACCCTCATCAAGCTTTTCTACACTCCCGCTTAAAGCCTCCTCTATATTCAAATCGCTGGCCAGTGGAATGATTGTGTCCAGGATTGAGCTCTCGGTGAACTCCAAGCTGCTCCTAGGAATTGGCTCTTCTTGCGATTCTTCCATCATTGTGAGTGATGAGCCTTTAAAACAAAAATAAGTACAATAGACTATAACTGGTTATATATTTGTAAATCGCATAATTTGTTAAGAAAACGAGTATGTGTTATGCCGTTGGAAACTCACATGAAAGGAGTTCTGGATGGTAGTACTGTAGAGTAGTGGCTAGCTTCCGTGCTGAAAACGCGCTAAATAGCGGCCGAGCAAAACCGCGAACCTTTTTCTGGAAACCGCAAATGCGATCTTGGTCTGCGCTTTTAGTAACAACTCAACCAAAAATTCGCTTTCTGCTTTCAGTTTCATCAACATGAACGGAATGAATGGTCACGCAGCTGTTCCTGCTCTCTGGCAGGAAGCGCGAAATGCGGATGGACGGGTTTATTATTATAATACAATCACGAAGGCGACGCAATGGACCAAGCCGGAAGATTTGATGACACCTGCAGAGGTATAATTCTTATCTCCCTAATTCTATCTATCATATAGCTTTCACTGACAACTTATTTAGCGTGCCCTATTGAATCAGCCATGGAAAGAGTATACAGCGGAAGGGGGGAGAAAGTATTGGTATAACACTGAGACGAAGCAGAGCTCATGGGAAATGCCAGATGTATACAAGGAAGCTTCGTCAAAAGAGGCTGCATCGCCTGCAGTCGCCGCTGCACCGTACGTATTTTCCGAGAAACGCAAAGAATGTGATTCTAATTTTGATTTATTAGAGTGCCAACCTTCGTCGCAGGAGGTGGATTCTCGGCCTCTCAGTATGACCAACCGCGAGATAGAGAACCTTTAGGAGAAGCTCGTCAAATTGCATACGGCAATGATGTCAATGGAAGCCGTGCCCAAGCTTTTGTGCCTGCTAATAATGATCCCGATTATTCCACCTTTGAAGAAGCAGAAGCAGCTTTCCTCAAGCTTTTGAAACGACACAATGTTAAGCCTGATCTTACATGGGAAGAAGTTATGCGATCAATTATCAAGGATCCTCAATATCGAGCGCTCAAAGACCCCAAAGACCGAAAGGCCGCCTTTGAGAAGTATGCCATTGAGGTTCGCCTACAAGAAAAGGACCGTGCAAAGGAGAGACTTGAGAAACTCAGATCTGATTTTGCTATTATGCTGAGAAGCCATCCAGAGATCAAACACTACACTAGATGGAAGACAGCTCGACCAATTATTGAAGGAGAGACGATTTTTCGCTCTTCGAATGACGATGATGAAAGACGTCAGCTATTTCAAGATTATATCATGGAACTCAAGAGGGCGAATACGGAGAAAGAGGTCGCAACGAGAAAAGCTGCGATGGACGATCTTGTTGATCTTTTGAAAGGATTAGATCTCGAACCATACACAAGATGGTCAGAAGCACAAGGTATCATCCAGTCAAACCCACGTTTCCAAGGTGACGAGAAACTCAAGGCACTCAGTAAATCGGACATGTTGACTGCTTTTGAGAATCATATCAAATCTCTTGAGAAGACATTCAATGATGTTAAACAGCAGCAGAAGACCCAAAAGCTAAGGAGAGAGCGTCAGAATCGAGACCGGTTTGTAGGCCTCTTGCGAGACCTCAAAGCTGGGAATAAAATAAAGGCAGGAACAAAGTGGAGCCAAATTCATCCTTTAATTGAAAATGATGACAGGTACGTCGATATGTTGGGTCAATCGGGATCTTCTCCTCTGGACCTATTTTGGGATGTAGTCGAGGAAGAGGAACGCGCACTGCGTAGTACACGAAATGATGTTTTGGATGTTCTTGATGTAAGTTCAATAGATACTTAATCTGGTGAAGCTCAAACTGACCAACTTGTAGGATAAACGGTTTGAACTCCAGCAAAAGACTCCGTTTGAAGAGTTCCTAGCACTGATGCAGAGTGATCGACGAACTGCTAACATTGATCGAGACTCATTGTTGCTAATATTTGATCGGGTTAGTACCCCTTTGTTGCAACAAACTTGCCCTCGGCTAACTATCGAAATAGTTACGTGAAAAGATTTCTCGAAGAAATGAGGATGATAAGCATCACGCAGAGCGCCATCAACGCCGAGCTGTGGATAACTTGAGATCCTACATTAAGCATCTCGAACCTCCTATTCGCATTGGCGATGATTACGAACGGGTTCGCGCTCGTTTTGAAGGGTCCGAAGAATATCTTGCCGTAACAACAGATGAACTCCGTCGCTCAGCTTTTGACAAGGTAATTCGCCGGCTTAAAGAGAAAGAGGAAGACGCCGAAAAGGACCGAGCCAAGCGTCGTGATCGAGCCTCAGTTGATCGACCAACACACAAAATACGCGACCGAGAGCGAGACCATCGTGGCTCCGGGTCCACCCGCTCTAGGCGTAGCCGCTCCCCAGAACCTGACGCGTATGAAGCAGACAGGCGAAAAGCTATCGCAGACCGCGAAAAGAACTACCGAAAGGGCGGCATGGCTGATACATTACTTTCTCCAAATCGTCGTGATAGGCGTGATCCTGATGCCCATGATCGTGAACGCGACCGGGATAGATTAATGCGGGATCGTGATCTTGACAAACCCCGCAGTAGACGAGATGATTCAATGAGTCATTATGAGCGAGAAAGGAGAGACCGCGAGGATGAGAGAGAGAAACTCTACAGACGACGCGGGGATCCTCGAGGTAGCATCGATGAGTTGCCTTACGGGGACGAAAGATCCAGTGCACCAAGAAAGAGAAGAGAAAGCGAAACTGAAACTCGCAGGGATAGTAAGGTTCGTTGCAGTTCATTATCATTATTATTCCGTTCCTCCCCCCCCCCGAAATGAATATCTACACTTTCTAAACTAACACCAATGCAAAAACAGAGAACCAGAAGAGAAAACACACCCAAACAACGTGAGCGCTCCCCAGTTCCCCCACGTGAACGGCGTCACAGGACTAGGACACCACCCGCTGCGAAAACCCCCGCCAAAGAAGAGCCTGCTGTCCATTCAGGTAGTGAAGAAGGCGAGATCGAGGAAGAATAGAGAAATAGATTGGACCTCTTTTTATGGTCAAGGTCATCATGCACCAATCAAATTGAAGAAAATTCGCCCTACCTGTACGTATCTGCACGCACCGTACTTCTATTTTTGGCTTGATGATATCGGCAAGCAGGCAGTTCACGATCGCGTGGTATTCAGGCAACGTTAGGCATTGTTCCAATTGAGCAACGGGGATGATAGAAGAAAGGGGGGCGAAGTGAAGAGAGAGATGAGAGCATGAAAAATTCGGTGTGTATTTTTTCCTTCTAGTTATTTATTGATTCTTCGCATTCAATATCCTCTCCAATCACATTTAAAAATCATCAAGTTTGTAAAGTAATAAGTTTCTACCATTACCATGTACTAAGAATTGAATTGCAATTCTATTGCATTGTACCCCTTCGCCTTGAAAATTGCCACTCGTGAAATGTTTTCACCCATCTTGGCGGCATGACATCCAACATCTTTCAATGCCCCTCAATCTACTTCTGATAAATCAGCCTATGCATGGCCTGCTCACCAAATCTTGGCGGTCATCAAAGTAGGACCAGGCATCGAGAGGATAGACTGCCGCCACCCTTGTTAGCCGCCTGGATCATCATCCTGGTCGGATGAGCCTTCCTCCATTACCATGCCTTGCCCATCGCTTTTCCTAGTCTCCTGAAATGCCGACCCCGTAACGCCATGCAATGCCTTTTCTGAAGGGTAAAATGAATCTTTCTCAAAAACCTCTTCAACTAGTAGCAGCCTTGTCATCCTCATCCAAGAAGAACTAGAAAATGTTAGTAATCATACACTTCAACTAATAGAACTTGGTACTTGCGTAGTTGCCGTTCAACTTCTGCTCCTGGTCTAATTGGGAGTTAAGCTTGTTGATACGAGGTCTGTAGTTAGATGGATCACGACGGAAAGTGACATCGAGGTTCTTCAAGAATTTATTGCAACCAGTGAGTAACGACTCGGGGGTATTGGCGCGAGCGTCGATACCAGGCTGGCCATCAAAGACAATAACACGATCCGCGAGGTAAGTAGCCATAATGAAATCGTGCTCGACAATGAAAGCGGTCTTCTTCGAGTGCATGATGAATCTCTTAATGACACGAGCAGCAATGATACGCTGTTCGGAATCAAGGTAGGCAGAGGGTTCATCAATAAGGTATATGTCTGCGGGGATACCAAGAGCAAGGACGATAGCCACACGTTGCAATTCTCCTCCGGACAAAGTCTTGACTTCTTGATCGATAAATTCTTCGAGCTTGAGAGGCTTGACGACGTCGGTCTGGAATTGAGGCAGAAGGAAGGCAGTCTTGATCTTCTTGAAGAAGAGTTGTCTGACTGTTCCCTCGAACTTTGGCGTGATCTTTTGAGGCTTCATACTGACCTTCATACCTGGAACTTTTTGATTGCCATCGGGTTGAGTGGCACCAGCAAGCATCTTACAGAAAGTAGTCTTACCAGTACCGTTCTCTCCCATCATAACGACAATTTCGGAATCGGTGAAATCTCCTGCCTCAATAGACAAGTGGAAGTTGCCAAGAGTCTTTTCCATGGATGGATACTGGAATGCTCGAGATCTGTCTGCCATGAATTCATCGGCAGCCTCGGCAATCTTGAAAGTTAAAGACTCTTCTCGGAATCGCAAGTTCTCAGTTGGGATGTTACCATCTAAGAAGATATTGATACCTTCTCTGACAGAGGCTGGGAGAGTGACAACACCGTAGACAGCGGGTTTTCCGTACAGAACGCAGATGAAGTCCGACAAATAATCCAACACCGAAAGATCGTGCTCGACGCAAATAACGTAATCATCTGGTCTCAACAATGATCGAATGATTTGAGCAGCAGCAAGACGTTGCTTTACATCTAGGTAAGAAGATGGCTCATCGAACATGTAGCTACATCTCAGTCAGTATGAACTTTGGGGTGGGGGGAGGGGTTGTCAAGACCACGTACACATCGGCCTGCTGCACGCAAACAGTTGCAATGGCGAATCTTTGTAATTCTCCACCGGATAAAAGATTGACGTCACGGTCCATAATATGATTCAACTCTGGAACAAAGTCAGTACAGTACTGTCAAGCTTGAATGATTGGTAACAAAGCATACCCAAAATGTCGCAGACCTCCTTGAAATTCTCCATTGATGCAACACCTTCGATCAAACCTCGAACGGTCTTATCTGGCCCTTTGATGGCTCTTGGAATTCTGTCAACATATTGGGGCTTCACAATTGCTTTCAAATCGTCTTCCAAAATCTTCGTGAAGTAGTCTGTATTCGTGTAAGCGCATTTCAAGAAATGTTAAAGATTTGAGGAACAAACTTTGTAACTCAGAGCCACGGAAGTATTTGATAACATCTTGCCAGTCGGGTGGGTTATCATATCTACCCAAATTTGGCTTTAATTTTCCACTGAGAATCTTGAGTGCTGTACTCTTTCCAATACCGTTGGAACCAACCAATCCCAAAACTTGTCCCGGACGTGGTGTAGGCAATCGATGCAACTTGAAACTGTTGGCGGAGTATCGATGAGTTACGTGAGACTCCAGATTTGTTGGCAGATTGATAATGTTGATAGCACCAAATGGGCACTTCTTGGGGCAGATACCACAACCAATGCAAAGATTCTCGGAGATGAAAGCGATTTTCGACTCGGGGGTAACTTCGATACAGAGGCGACCACTTCGAACGACCGGGCAGGACTTTTTACATTCTTGTCTACATTTCTGTGAATATATAATTAGCAACTTGCAGAAAGTGCTGAAAAGAGTAGACGCGTTTATTTACCTTTGGCTTGCACTGTTCAAATGGTGGATAATGTCAGTGATGTTCATATGGCGGGGTATGTGGTGGGGCAAGGCTCAACGCAAAATTTGTCGCACCTTGTCAGTACTGATGATAGCAATACTAGAGGTAGGAGAGTCAGCAAGCTACTCAAGCATAGGTGTTGAATATCACAGAGATGCGAGCTATACTGCTCAGGCGACTTTGTAAGTAGGCGTTCGTACCGGGTAAGTTTGTCAGACATCTTGGATGCTGTTGCTCTCTCTCACAGAGCACTAAAGATTTGTGGGAAAAAAGAAAAGCAGAGAATTCTCTGGGAGACCCTTAAGGTTATCGACGGACTTGTGCTTTTTTCGTCTTCCACGGTTGTCGTGAGTGTAGCGGACTGAAATGCTGTAGAAACCTTGCGATGAATATGAAGTTGGTTGGTCTTGATGTGGTTGTGAAAGATAAAAAGTCTTTCAGTGTTCAGATTGAAATTCGATTATTACACAATTGATATTATTGGCTGTAGGAGCTTAAACCTTAGTGCGGTTTCACTGTAGGATATTTTGGCAGGAGCCACTATTCTCTTTTGTACCCACTGGAAACAATAGAGTAGATCTGCTAAGACGAGTCTGTAGTCTTTGTAAAAAGTCGGGGTAGAAAGATTCATCTACCTTCCATCCATGAATGATACATATTACAAGCAATTAGATATTGCCCTTCTCATACCAGAACCATAAGAAATACACAATGTTGATACTCGATGCCTTTCGTTAAACCGGTGCTGGTGGTACTAGGTAGATACTGTAAATGGGCAACATGCCTCCATGCCAACCAGTGATCTAATTATCTAGATATGAGTTCAAAATCATATATTAATTCCATCTGTCTATTTTATCCAGGAAAACTCGATAGATGTGTTCATCATCTTTTCCCTTCATCAATGATATCAGTTCCGAAGGCTTCAATACCTTCTGTTTTCTATCAAATCCATTACATAGATACCTACTAGGTACACAGAGACAACCAGATGCGAAAGAATGCTCGAGGCATGTTCCATTCTTGCTACAAGAAACGACCAGGAACATCAACATCATATTGTTAAAAGTGCATATCAAATCAACCAACCAATATATTCTTGTAAATATTCATTTGTATAATAGCTTCCCTCTTAAATATTAATGCTGCTAGTTTTTAGAATATTTGCTCATTGCGAAAGGGTATTGTTATACTGTTGTATTCACAAGAATACAATCTTTACTTTTGATGGTTTTCATCATTGTAGGGTTTGTCTGGCTAAAGTACGGCTGTATCACGTGATACACTAAAACATCCTAGCTTCTGCTCGGCTAAGTACGGTAGACTTGTGGTTCTCCTCTGACCAACTGCTCATGTCAATCATTATGGGAAATTCATCACTGATTGTGTAGACCTTCAGATCCGCTCTCCAATTTTAACGTCCGAAGTACCCAACATCACTACCATCTACCTTCATATTCTTCAAATTAAAGATTGACTCTCAATTATTTTGAAATCAGGGGGGCCTTATTAAATATGGCTTGTAAGTTTTCCAATTTTCCCACAAATTCCACGCAAAACTATGATATACCTATTCCCATCATCAATCATAATGCATCTGCTATCCTCGAATGCCATCATTTCCATCTTCATATCTCCTCATGCAGTCTTCGAACTATATAGAGTCCCCTGATCTTCACTCATGTCACTCTCCCGTTGCTGTTTTCTTGTCCTTGTCATGCTCTTCGGCACACAAAGCTCCTATGAGCTGGCCTCAATCAGATTGTATCATTTCCATCGACTTTCATCGCGAGATTGCTATCAAGCACACGAGAATGCGCCGATGACATTCAGTATGTCGTTGTTGCTGGGCTCATTGCAATCTTGGTGTATATAGGATCGCGGCTTCTTTCCCTTCACGGGCGTGCAATTGTCAGAGTTTTCACCACACCCATTCATGGGTTCATACTGTTCATATTAGCTAATATCGTCGTCGCAGCCCCGCAGGATACAATCGAAGTCATGAACTCGACATCCCCGTTACATATGTCCAATGGACACGATGAATCATTTGCAAGATCCTCGCCATCAAATGATGACGCACCAGGCGAAAGTGAGTCAGAACTATCTGATGTTGGCAACCCTACCGTCGATGAACCCTCACCGGCCTCCTCAAACCAACAACCAATGTTTGGTGGTCAAGATTCCGATGCAACTGAAGACTCGTCACCTGAAGATCAAGAACAATCCGATGATGCGGACTTTGATGAAGAAGAAACTCCTGCGGCTGCAGCTTTCAATGGCCAACGATCAGAGCGTTCGAGCACTGTCGAGTCGTCGCGTCCTGCTAAACGCAAGCCGGGCGTCACTGATCAAGATCGGTACATGCTAGAGAATCCCGAGCTTTATGGTTTACGGAGAAGTGTAGGAGCTTTCCAATCTCACATCCCTCTTGAACTAGTGCTAACGGATTTTTACAACTACAGGCGCGACCAGCACAAACTCGAACTATTGTATGTCGTTCCCGAGTCATCCAATTAATATGCGAAATACAATCCAGTTGGTTATAAGTGCTGACTATTACAGGTTGAGTCTGATGATGATGATGAAGAGGAAGATTCCGATGCTGTTGCAGCTCATAGAAATAAGCGTAGGAAGCCAGAGCGCTCCCAACAATGTAAGCGCCTTCTTGTCGCGAGTGAACTGGCTGTGGCAGAAATCTAATCTTGTGTACAGCTTCCAAACGCCAAACACCAGCTCTGCAATCTGCATCTGCCTCTGATACTGACGAAACAGAGGATTACGGTAGCTTACGAGCACGTAATACTATCAAGAAGAATCGACGCCGCCAATTAGAGACCGGCAACATCGCACTTCAATATCAAGAGAAGCGGTGGAACAGCCGTCGTGCTGCGCAGGTCACAACCGGTGCTTACCAAGAGAGCGATCCCGACTTGGAAGATGAATCTGAATTGATGACCCCAAACCAGTGGGCGGAAGATGTTGAAGATACCTCACCATATATCGATGTTGTCTTGAAGCACAAGATCAAAGCTGATAGAGATGCAAAAGATGAGAACCTTACAAAGGACGATTTTGAGTACTATATCAAATGGCAGGGCAAATCGCACTGCCATGCTACTTGGGAGACAACATCCACTTTGGCAGGAGTTCGTGGTTTCAGGCGCCTCGAAAACTATTATCGAAAAATCGTCATCGATGACATCTACATGACGCAAGGTGCTGAGATACCACCGGAAGAGAAAGAAAAATGGATGCTCGATAGAGAGCGTGATGCAGATGCCCTAGAAGATTACATAAAGGTTGAAAGGGTTATTGGCTCGCGAGAAGGTGATGAGGAAACCGAATACTTCATAAAGTGGAAGGCTCTATACTATGAATCTTGTACATGGGAGACTGCCTCTTTCATCAGCGAGAAGGCTCAAGATGCTATCGACCACTTCTTGGATCGCAGCTCTAGATCTCTGGTCTCAGACCGAAAGGAGTCGAACCCAGATACCAGAAGCCCTCACGTCCCTATTCGTGAGCAACCAGATTATATCAAGAATGGTCAATTGCGAGATTTCCAGATCACAGGTCTTAATTTCCTAGCTTACAACTGGTGCAAGAATAAGAATGTCATTCTTGCTGATGAAATGGGACTTGGCAAGACTGTCCAGACTGTTGCTTTTATGAATTGGCTCCACAACGATAGAGGCCAAGAAGGTCCGCATCTTGTCGTGGTACCTTTGACAACCATCCCTGCTTGGGCTGATACCTTTGATAATTGGGCACCAAGTCTCAATTATGTTGTTTACAATGGTAAAGAGTCATCTCGTCAGATCATACGTGAGTATGAACTGTTGGTCGATGGAAACCCCAAGCGTCCAAAGTTCAATGTCCTACTCACATCTTATGAGTACATTCTGGCCGACTCTGTTTTCCTGTCACAAATCAAGTGGCAGTTCATGGCCGTCGATGAAGCACATCGTCTGAAGAACAGAGAATCTCAACTATACCTGAAGTTGCTCGATTTCAAGGCTCCCAGTCGTTTGTTGATCACCGGCACCCCGGTCCAAAACACTTTGGGCGAGCTGTCGGCCCTCATGGACTTCCTCATGCCAGGCGAATTGGAAATTGAAGACAACATGGACCTTACTGATGAAGCTGCTGGTGAAAAAATTGCTGCACTCACCACCAAAATTCAGCCATACATCCTCCGCCGGACAAAGCAGAAAGTCGAGAATGACCTCCCTCCAAAAAGCGAAAAAATCATTCGTGTCGAGCTCTCAGATGTTCAGCTAGATTATTACAAGAATATTCTTACTCGCAATTATGCAGCTTTGAACGAAGGTTCCAAAGGCCCAAAGCAATCGTTGTTAAACATAATGATGGAACTCAAAAAGGCCAGCAATCACCCCTACATGTTTCCGAATGCAGAGGAGAAAATCTTGAAGGGAAGCGAAAGACGAGACGATCAGCTGAAAGGTTTGATTGCCAGTAGTGGAAAGATGATGCTCCTTGACAGATTACTTGCCAAGCTCAAAAAGGACAATCATCGTGTTTTGATTTTCAGCCAGATGGTGAAGATGCTGGACATTCTCGGTGACTATCTTCAACTTCGTGGTTACCAATTTCAACGCCTTGACGGTACTGTTGCTGCAGGTCCAAGACGTCAAGCCATCGATCATTTCAACGCCGATGGAAGCAATGACTTCTGCTTTCTCCTTTCTACACGTGCTGGAGGACTTGGTATCAACTTGATGACGGCCGATACGGTAGTCATTTTCGACTCTGATTGGAATCCCCAAGCTGATTTGCAAGCCATGGCTCGTGCACATCGTATTGGTCAGAAGAAGCCTGTAAGTATTTACAGGTTTGTCTCAAAGGAAACCGTCGAGGAAGAGATTCTTGAGCGTGCTCGTAACAAGCTCATGTTGGAGTTCATTACCATACAGCGAGGTGTCACCGATAAGGAGAAGAAGGAGCTGCGAGAAAAAGCTGCAAAGGCTGGCAAGATTGATGATCCTAAATCATCCGAGGATATTTCCCGTATCCTCAAAAAGAGAGGCCAGAAGATGTTTGAACAATCTGGTAATCAGAAAAAGCTTGAAGAGCTGGACATTGACTCGGTCCTTGAGAACGCTGAAGAGCACCAGACTGAAGTACCAGAAGGCATTGTCGCCGATGGTGGTGAAGACTTCCTCAAAAGTTTCGAATATACTGACGTCAAAATCGACT